TCCAGCTGACTGCCAAGCAGAGTCGCCTGAAGGCGATTCGCGAGAACAAGCGCCGACTCGGCATGATCCTCGAGGTGTCGGGCAATTTGAAACGGGTTGAGGCGCTTCTTCCCTCGGTGGCCGCCTCAATGCGAACTGACCTGGTGGCGAGTGAAGATTATAATCAGCAGCTATCAACGACCAGCAACACACTGCTGACGGTGGACTCGACGCTGGAGGAGACGGCCACTCTGGTCGGTCGAATTCAGCTCAACCTGGACTACCTAGAGGAGAGCCTGAGCCGACCGCCGGAGCTGGAGGCGTCCGGCGGCTGCTCAGCACTGCTGCCAAAACTAAAACACCGCTTCGAAGTTTGCTCACGACAGTTCTACGGCCTCCTCGAGCGGAAGCTCTACTACCTGCTCACCTTCGACTTGATGAAGCTGACGGCGACCAGAGAGGAGGAGACGCGCTGTGAGCAGGTGATCAGCCGCTCAGTGGAGATCATCATCCGCCACTACCTGCTCAGCGGCAACCAGACTCGGCTGGAGGACATCATCAGCGAGAACCTCGTCAAGCCGGCATTTGATGAGCTGATCAGCGACGCGTACATTGCCCGGCACGGCGTGCAGAGCATGTTCGACGGCGTGCTCGCCTTTCTCGACACTCGCTGTGCGCTGCTGATCAGAGTGCTCACCACCAGCACTGCCACCACTGAAGAGGAAGGAAACACCAGTCCTGGAGGACTGTCCACCCTCGGCTACGAGCTGCTGACACGCACCGTCTGGCGACACCTCGTCGAGGACTGCATTGTCCGCTGCACTGCTCTCTTCAGCCTCGCCAATGCTGACGCCTTCTACCGGCACTACCTGACCACCTGTCGCTTCACCGAGGCGTTCCTCGCAAAGACCGGTCTGGCCGCTCACCGAGAGCGCTTCGAGGCGGAGCCGGCCACCCTCCAGCTGAAGGGCAAGTTCAACCTCAATGTGTACTTTTTCATGAGGCTGCAGCAGCTGGTGCCCGCTCTGGAGCGGGGTTTACATGAGGGGCGGTTTTCGCTTGTTGCCTCGGGAAGTTCTCAGCAGTACCGAACGAAGGTCGCCACGCTGGTGCACGCCTGTCTGCAGCAGTGCTGGACGCTGGACAGCAGCAGCGGCAGCGGCGGTGGCACTCCTGATTCGAATGAGCCCCTCTTCGTCGGCGATCTCTTCGGTTACCTCTGGAAGATCTCCCTGAAGGTGCTGGCCCGCTACTCCTCCTGGATCGCCGCTGTGGACGTCGAGACGGTTGCCGAGTGGCTGAGGACTGCGGAGCTGCCAGACGCCTCTCGCAGCCGACGAGTGGCCGTCAGCCACAGCCTGGCGGCGTTCATCCACGACAGCCAACTGCTGCTGGCCAACTTTGCCGCCCTCTACCAGACGGTAATTACCCCGCTGTGGTTCAACTTTTTCGAACGCATGCAGGCAAAGATTGAGACCAGCAAAACGGCGGCGGGAAATCGACGCGGTGTTTTGCTGCAGCGAAACTCCCTCGACGGCTCGCTGACCGAGGCGGTAACTGCCTTTCACGCTGTGGCCACCCAGCACCTCCTCCACCTGCTCAAGGTGGAGATCACCGGCGAGTGCGCCCCCCTGCTGGACATTGTCAATGACATTCCGCGGCTGTACCGGCGCACGAACAAGGAGAAGCCGGCCAGGGCGTCCGCCTACGTGGGCCGGTGCGTTCAGCAGCTGGCTGAGCTGATCGGTCTCATTGGCGGTGGTGGTGATCAGCAGCAGCAGCAGTGGAGGACGGCCTGGCTGGCAGACCTGCTGACCGAACTGAGCGGCCATTACCGCAATGCCACCCTCGAGGTGCTCACCTCGGTTCAGCGGACGGAGGACAGTCTGAAGAAGCTGAAGAAGGCGAACCAGAAAGCAATGGCGGCGGCCACCGGGGCGACGAGCCGGGCAAGCTCAATGAGCGACGACGACAAAATTCGACTGCAGATTTACTTTGACGTTCAAGAGTTGGGCGTGGAGGTTAGTGCTTTCACTGATTTAGAACTTGATTCGTTTTGATGCTAATTTACGCATTTTCCTTTCGCAACACTCAGGTACAGCGCAGGCTGAACTTTGACCTGTACTCGGTGAAGCCGTACCGTGAACTGGCGGAGATGGTTAGCTCGCTGAAGATTTTAATCTGATTCTGCTGTTGGAGTATGTTTTTGGAGTGTTTTCATGGCAATAGTTTTTTAATTTATCAATGTTTATAAAATGAGTGTGATAATTTACCTTTTTGTAACCCCTGCCTGGTGCTTTTCATAAACCACACATTGCAATAACTACAAGGCAAAAAGGTGTAGGGGCCAGAGGGCAACAGAGCTGTGTGCAGCAAAGGTCACCAGAGGTCCCTAACAGGCTTTGTCTAGCTGAGCAGATTTGTGTCGTCTATTGTTGTCTGTTTTCAGTGACTGAATGGAACAGAGCTTCAGTTCTGAAACCCCTTTTTCTTTTTTACACCATGAGTTCTTTATCAGTTTTTTTAGAATCTAAATCTGCCTTTAGCCCGGCATTTTGGGCTCAACGATTCTTTGTTTTTTTGCATTTTCTTTGTTTCAGTTCTGTTCAGTTTACCGATGTTCTAGAATGGCTTGCCTCTGCGTTTGGTGCTTCTCTAAAACCAATTTCAAAGGAATTCGTTCCAGTGCCAACATTTGTGGCTTCACAAACAGTGCTTCTTCGAGCGGTTGTGCCATCATCTGGCTTCACTATAACTTTTAGAGCCTTGCTTGACTCTGGAACTACTTTTTCTTCTATTAACCACGAATTAGCAACGGTTCTTTTTGAAAATGGCGCTGAATGTCAGCTCATTCAGCCAGTTTTCTCAATCAAGCCCTTTTATGAAATCCAGAAAACTCTTTGTTATCGTCAAATCAATGGTTTGACGCTTCAGTCGGTGGAAGATGAATCTGTGACAATATCAACTTCAGTTCTTGTAGATGATTGTTATTCTTTCAGTTTTGATAACTTGCCTGTCGACTTTGTGGTAGAGAAATTTGCTTCACTAGGACTGCCAATGGTTCAACTATCACCTAGCAATCTGGGAAGGAAAATGTGGTCACAAGAAGAGCCACTGTAAGATTGTGTTGTTTTATCATTACAAAATACTAATTTTGGTTTTATCACTTTCAGTTCCCGGTATCGGGTGCACATGCTCATTGGTCAGGACTNCTTGTAGATGATTGTTATTCTTTCAGTTTTGATAACTTGCCTGTCGACTTTGTGGTAGAGAAATTTGCTTCACTAGGACTGCCAATGGTTCAACTATCACCTAGCAATCTGGGAAGGAAAATGTGGTCACAAGAAGAGCCACAGTAAGATTGTGTTATTTTATGATCACAAAATACTAATTTTGATTTTATCACTTCCAGTTCTTGGTGTCGGGTGCACATGCTCATTGGTCAGGACTTACTGAATGCCCATTTTAACATGACACCATTTCAGCCAACGTATCACATCTCTTCATCACTGGCTATCATCAGAACAAAAATGGGACTGACTTTCACGGGACAGTTTGATTTGAAAAAATTTATAGAGTGGAATGTGAGTGAAACAGAAATTAAAAAGATTAAGGAAACACTGTACCCAACGAAAAATGATAAAGAAGTTGATAATGGTCTGTCAACAACTCAAAGAGAAGAGATAGACAAACTGTTGACCTTTAAAGTTGCCAATGTTAAGCCAAGCTGGAGTGAATACACCTGTAAGAATTTAATTTTTATTTGAAAACCGATCATTTTATTTTTTTATTCTAGATTCCATCATTTACATGATCATCTTTATTAATGCCATCTTTATAGTTTTGCCTACTTGCCTTGTTGGCCTTGTTCTCAAGTACCTTCTCATTGCCTCTTTCACTTACCGCATATCTATAATCAGATCAGCAT